CTTCTTGCCTTTTAAAAAATGTAAGGAGTAAAAAGTACAGATAAGTGTGTGAAAATGTAAGGAGTAGAAGTAAAAAGTAGGCTGAAAAATAATTACTCAAGTAAAGTACAGATATTCTACTTAAGTACAATAACAAAGTATTTGAATTTCGTTACTTTACAACTCTATTTACATTTTTTCCCTGAAACGTGTGTAAACATTTTTTTAAAAGATAGCAGCATTTTCCTCGTTTTGATCAGTTCAAAAAGCACAAAAAGTTATTTCTTCTAAAACAAATAAATCTGGGATGTTGCATAAAATGTAAATCTGTTCAGAATGCAGAGTTTTCAGCTGGTGAGAGTTCTGGTCTCCAGGCAGGTCAGTTCAGCTCCTGGACTAACAGCCCTGCTAGCATCGTCTTGCTGAAACACCTCATATGGACGGATGCTAATGTTGTTTTAAAAGACGGCTCTCCAGAGGTGTGAGGTGCCAGCAGCACTAATGCATCCCTATACCATCAGAGAGGCAGGTAACACTATGGGTGGTCTCTCTCCTCTTTAGCACAGAGGACATGGTTCCAAACAACCTTTTAAATTTGAATTGAATTTACCAAAAAGGATCAGTTTCCTTTTAGTTTTCTTATCTAAAACACAGGGTTCCTGCAGATCCTTAAAGAGTTTTAAAAGTCATTGAATTCATTAATCCAAAAATAAGGTTTTAATTAGCCTCAAAATGTCTTAAATCAATCTGTCAGAAGTTTTAAAAATGTGAACACATTGTAAATAGGATGACGTCTCAAATACTAAAATAATTGGTAACATTTATTTTTTTAAATATTCACATGCAGACATTCTCCTTTGACATCACTTCCTGTTATTTCACATGCAAATATCTCAACAAGTGTCCAGCTGAGTAATGTGAAATTTGTTTTRTAATATGTTAATAATGTCGCCTTTCCAAAAATGCATTCATATTTCTTACAACAATTTAATGTCACAGGCACTTTAAGGTTTAATCTACAGTGAATTGGGGTTAAGACCCCACTGTGGGTCTTAAAACTCCAAAATTTAGTTCATTAGAGGATTTCAAGAAATTAAATTAAGTTTAAAACTGACTGCTAAGATGGTTTTTGCTGTTTGATGAAAAATCTGTTCGATCTGGATAAAAACAGTTGGTTTATTAGGAATATTTGAATACTTCAACCAAAAGTACTTTGATTCATGAGTTTCTGCCACAATTTTTATTTTTGTGTCATTTGGGTTTATTGTGAAATTGGTCTTAAATTTAATTTCACTGGACATTAAAAAGTCTTGAGTTTAACTTAGCCTTAAACTGTAGGAACCGTGAAAAAGATTTTTAATTTGAAACTTATTGCATTTTTTTTTTTGTCACATTTCACACGACAGCCCAACTTGTTTTTGAATTGTGTTTCCGTGCAGTGAAGTTCACCGGTCTGGTTTCAGAGAGTGCTTCTTACTGTTCTGTCTCCTGTGTGTTGTTGCAGGGGTTCAGCATGCCCATGTTCTGATCTGGAAGGAGTGAAGTTCATGAGATCTGCATCCAAACCGGGAGGAGAGCAAACTGAGACTTGGGGTGGGGTTTAGGATGTCCGATCGAATCACCTGTCAATCAAACTGTAAAGAAGAAGAAAACCGTTGTGTTTTTGTGCGACACAGTGGAAGGATGTGACCTGACGTGAGCTGGAAGGGTCCCCCCCCCCCGCAGGCCCGAGGTTCCAGAGTCTGAATTATTCAAGAGCTTCGTCCTGCTCCCGTTCTTCCTCCTCCTCCTCTGCAGCCTGTCGCTTTGAGCTGGTCGTGGGTCCGACGGCGGCTCAGCGAGGCCGTGAGCGGTTCATCCGGTTCCGCCTCAGCCCTGGAACAGAGCGCCATGACACTCTGTACAGCCCCGCCCCCTTCTTTTGATGTTGCACTTCTAGTTAAATCCGACCCGGAGAGAACGTCCATTACCCAACTGTTCTCTGCTCCCGTTAGCGCCCACTGCTCTCTCTTTTCTCTGTTCTGTTGTACGTGGTGGTGTGATGTGCTCGTAAAGTGATGATGATGATGGTGGCACTGGCACACCCACACACATTCACAGCTGTCGGCCAACCTGAAAGGAAGCGATGTAACTWGTATGTCCCAATAGAGGCGCGTCTGACTGATCATGGAGAGAAAGCAGAAACCCTCCCGCTCACACACTCCAAACAGCTTTTTGAAGTTACAAAAAAAAAAAGTTTTAAAAAAGATGAAACATATTTTCAATTCTGTAGCTTTAGTACTAAAGTTTTAAATCAAGTTGTGTTTTGGTTTTTGTCCGATGTCTGTACAGTTTTATTTCCTGGATAATGTATGATGTTTGTTGCCAAACTGTGGCCTACATAAAGTATATTTCAGCACCCCCTCCCCTCCCCCCACTCACCTGTAACTCATATCAGAGGGTGAAGAAGAAAACCAGCTTCTCTGCGCTGTATGACCTGATTGTAATCATTACACATTGAAGTATTAGTGCAGATGATCTGTGCCGTTAGGATCGAGTCATTACGTACATTTTTTCTGTTTTTTTGTTTTTGTTTTTGCACCTGTGAGCAGTGTTACAGATCCAAGGTTTGTTCCTCACATCCAGTTCTGTGATGGGTCTTTTTCGTCTGGCAGATGTTTGAATGTTCTCAGCCATATTTTTATTCACCCTCTTTTAGGGTCAATCAGTCATTTCCAACCTTTACTCCCTGGCTCCCTGGCAGTCCTGTAAATATCAGACAATTGCATCTTTTCTGCAGTTGACGTCTGTTGCCCTACGATACTCTAAAAGCCTGTTTGTTTGTTTTGTTTTTGTTTTGTTTTTTCTGTGAACTTAAAATTCTTTTTAATAAAATAAAACTTGTAATCAATATACTATATTTTTTTGCCTTAAACAGTTTATAAACAACCCGTAACTTTAACTCTCAAGCTTAACCGAGACGAGCCTGAGTGTTTTTTTTGAAGTAGTTCAGGCTCAGTCTCAAACAGTGGTTTCTTTCTGAAAGTCAGTCTGTAAAAATTGTGACTTTTGCCTTCGGCAGTGGACAGTAAATAAGTTTGAARCTGTAGCATCAGGCTACATAAACCTTAAATTTTACCATTAAAAAAGGATTTTTCTTTTGAACTTTTTAGGACTAACATACTTCTCAAATCCTCTCATCAGTTACAAAACAAATATATGTGACCCATMACATCGAAGCAAKKATTATAAGTGGAATGTAGAGACATGGGCAGATATAGGATTTTGATTTAAACGCGTGCAAAAATTGCATTTTGTCGAACTATAATGAATTAATGCCTTGGGGCACTTTTTCAGCAGTAGCAACAAATAATGATTTTGAAGAAAAATGCCTTGAAATTTTGAGATTTTCCCTGAACTGTTTTTGTTTCTTTTCAACTGGGAAATCTATTATACAAATGAGGTTTCCTCTAGGGATGCACGATATATTGGTACTAATATCTGAAATTTTTTATATCGGTGCATCTCTAGTTTCCTCTTTATGTTGACATCAAAAATTACTCAATAAATTTACATAAAATTAGGATTCGGACCGAACAGTAACGTATTACTGTAACAAGACAAATTACGTCATATCTCTGGATAAGCTTTCATCAGGATGATCCAGGTATCAAAATGTAGCTTTTAAAGCCAGGAAACAAAATGTAATGAGGTCATTTTGACCAAATTTGACTTAATCATTTTGATCTGATGGGTCACATATTGTAAAAGTACATAAATCAGACAATATGAAGTCAATTGTTTATTTTACAGATGGCAGAAAAAGGCACAGTTTTAAATACTAAGTGCATTTCAAATCACTGGGGAAAAAAACAGTTGAACCCTTTTCTAATCATTACAGGACAAGAAACTGAAGTACAATCTCATTTTTGTTTAAAAAATTGAACTTTTTTTTGACAGTCTGGTTCAAAAACGCTAAATCAACAACAGCCAATATGGCCACTGCTGACACGACGATCTAGGATACAGGGCGAGTCAAAAGTCTCAGGACACCCTTTTCTTCAGAAAGAAAAAGGTAAAATGTCAGATCTGAATACCACAGCAGGTGATGGGACCCATCTGTCTGGAACATGGACGCCATCTTGGTTCAAGGACAAGTTTTTCAAAGATAGGCCCCCTCAACCATTACTTGCTGGGGTACTCAGATGCGTCATTTTACCTTTTTCTTTCTGGAATAAAAGTGTGTCCTGTGACTTTTGACCATGAATTTATTTATTTTTTTCCCTCATTTAAAATGTCCTTTGATAAAGAAATGTAGCCTGATTTTGCTGATGGAGCAACAACAGTTCATTTAAATCCAAAAATCTACTTTAAACAAAAGAAGACGGGAAGTGAAAATGTGACAAGTCCAGGATGGATGTTGTGTCTGGGCTGGAGTGGTGAACAGTCAGGACCCACAGCAGGTCACTTCCTGTCGATGTGCAGCTGGCTGGGCTCGGCTTCACAGAGGAACGTTGGCGTGCTTCTTCCACGGATTCACCTGCTTCTTGCTGGCCAGCATCTCCAGATCACTGCAGATCTTTTTCCGAGTCGTGGCCGGCTCGATTATGTCGTCAACAAAACCTAAAGCGGGTCAGAAGTTTGCGTTTTAAACGCGGAGTTTGAAGATTAGGCGCAAGAACTGTGGCTGGTGGGTTCTGTTTACCTCTGACAGCAGCTGGGAAGGGGTTGGCAAACTTTTCCACGTACTCGGCCTCTGCCTCGGCCTGGTTCTCTTTGCCTCTGAAGATGATCTGAACGGCCCCCTGTGAACACAGACTGTGAGTTCCTGTGAAAGAAGAGGCTTAGAGGGTGACTCCAGATGGTCCTACCTTAGCACCCATGACTGCGACCTCTGCCGTGGGCCAGGCGTAGTTCACGTCACCTCTCAAGTGTTTGGAGCTCATGACATCATAAGCTCCTCCATAAGCCTGGAATAAAGAGAGAAAAAGTCAAAGCTGCACGTTGCAAACGACAGGTTAGAGTCAGAGCTAAAGAATCATGTGACTCAMACACCTTTCTAGTGATGATGGTTATTTTGGGCACAGTGGCCTCTGCGAAGGCAAACAGCAGTTTGGCTCCGTGTCTGATGATGCCTCCGTACTCCTGGGCTGTGCCTGATCGGAACAATTACACATGTTTAAAATGCACCAATTAAAAAAGCTTAAGGTTTAGTTTAAAACAAAGGCACAGGTAAAGTGTTCTCCTCTTTGCTTTGCTTTTAAACTAAACTCTGAGCTAAACTCAGGCAGCACAAGCATGCACAGTAGATCTGCACATGGATCCTGCTCCTTCCTGTCTGTTGACCAATAGGAGAGGAGCTGACTCAAGAAGGACTGCCCACCTTATTTGCATAATAATGCAGAAATGCATAAGGTAATGTAAATACAGGAGACAGAAATGCTAAAGCAACACATGGAATTAAAAAGACTTGTGGGAAAATTTATATACCGTATTTTTCGGACTATAAGCCACGACTTTTTTCCTGAACTTTGAACCATGCGGCTTATAGTCCGGTGCGGTTTATACATGGATTTTTTTCTTCAGCCACCAGGGGGCTCTTATGCTCCATTTGCTTCAACCACTCGCTTCAAAAAAAGAAGAAAAAAAGAAAAAAGCGATCGCTTCCAGAGCCGACTGTTGTACCAGGAAGCAGCGATTTAAAGATAGTCAATGGCCAAAAACTCATAAAAGGGGATAAAACAGACATTTTTCACGGTGGAATCTGACTGATAAAAACTTTGGAGCTTAATCCAGGACCAGTTTGTGGATAAACGTCAAGTGAAGAGCTGCTGACTTTTTTTTTTCGGCATTGCACTCCCCGGGGAAGGAATCCCATGCAGTGACGTATGCTGGAGCGGGAGGGCTTTCCCACCACAGCTTTACACAACAACAGGTACCGCTGTGTGACGCAGCTTTTCTCCGCTTGTTTAACTCCGAAACTGAAGAGGATTTCGATGGTTTCAGTGCGCTGGGGGACGATGAATGAGACTTTTTGTTGGACTAGAAACTTAAAGAAAACTACCAAAATAAGGTCAGTTAAATGAACCGTATTCCTCCGAACTTTAATTCCTAAAGGTTTGCTTTTTATGTTTTGATGTTGAATTCACATTTTTGACAACAATTTTGGGTGTACTGTTTTGTTTTTGTTTTTACTGATGGGGGTGGGGGGTGCGGCTTAGTCTGGTGCGGCTTATAGTCCAAAAAAATACGGTAAATATAAACATTTAAGAGACATAAAAACATCCACAAGTACAAGGAAAAACAAAAAATATAGATTTTCAAAAACAGTAAAATAATGTGCTGAAATATATGGATTATTGGAACTAAGCTGGAAAAATAAAAAAGGTCAATTACATCATAAAACAAGACGTAAATTTATCCTTTTTTAATTTATTTGGTGCATTTTAAAGCGTATTTATTTATTTATTGGTCCATTTATATATTTTATTTCTAATTATGTCAGTCTGAGATCATTAACATTATAAAACAAGAGGCTAACATAGGCATCTATTCACATAGAAGTCTACTTCAAACCTGCCAACATCTGCTTACAGCAACGAGGAACACCTGTTCATGTTAACAAGAAGCTGTGGACTGAAGCAGTTCTAGGGGGTCCAGGGGTGTATACCCCCAAATTTATTTTGTAAAATATCTACTAAAACTGTGCATTTTCCAGCCATTTTAGGCACATTTTACTAAATTCTTGGGATTAATAAAACATAAAATCAGTATTTTATGATGGTGGAACACAGAAAACAGACTGAACGTTACCTGAGATCATAACTGAAACTTTCATTATTTTGTTTTCTATTTACACACTGAAAAATGACATGAAATATCCTGCATCATATAAAGCAGCTGAGAAACCTTCAGAACAATTTACCTTCATAAACCTGAGTAACAGTGATTATCCTACAGATTATCACAAGTTAGAAAATCTTTTCCCTCGTTTGTGACGCCCCCCTATATAGCCGGTGCCCTTAGCGTTTGCCTATACTGCCCAATCCACCCCTGAGTTGAACCCATTCAAATAATGTTTTCAGTGAATACCTGGTAGGAAACCTGGAACGTCCACAAAGGTGATGATGGGAATGTTGAAGGCGTCACAGAAGCGAACAAAACGAGCTCCTTTCACTGAGGAGTTGATGTCCAAACAGCCTGATGAGCAGAACAAACATGAACTGAACTAAACTAAAGCTTTTCGTTTAGTTTGATTTCTTTTGACTTACCTGAAGCTACTTTAGGTTGATTGCCTACAATGCCCACAGTGCGCCCGTTCATTCTGGCAAATCCCACCACGATGTTTTTAGCGTAGGCGGGCATGATCTCAAAGAAGTCCCTCTCGTCGACGATCTGAACAGAAGCAGAGGACAGAGTTTTACTGCTGAGGTTACACACAGCTGTGTATCTGTAGGTGAGGAGGTGATCACACACAGCGTGAATGATGTCCAACATGTCGTAGGCTTTTGTTGACTCCAAYGGGACGATGGTGTCCAACGACTTCACCAGACGGTCGCTGTGGATGAAGAACACATCTCTGTTGGTTTATATATGATCAGAGTTCTGTCCTACATTAATGTGTGTGTGTGTGTGTGTCTGCTCAGAACTGTGTGTTTATGTGGAGCAGTGCATGCTTCTACTACTGCATGCCATTTTGTTTCAATCGGTCTGCTTCCAGAACTTCTTCATATTAGAAATACAGCGGGTAAAATAAGTTTTGAACACATCACCATTTTTCTCAGTAAATATATTACTAGAGGTGCTAATGACATGAAATTTTCACCAGATGTCGGTAACAA